GACAGAACTGCACAGCATGCAGGCATTGCCTCTGGGAGCTTATACTGAAAGCAAAATAACAAAATAACCCCAAAAGAAACCTGCTGTGGTGCCCATAAGGCACACACGGAGCCTTTTTCTGACCTCTGGAATGTTTAAAGCAGCTGAGGGTGCTGCTATGGGTGAGCACCTGCCTAAAGCCCTGGCAGGATTTGTTGCTCCATGCAGCGATGCTCAGCTGAAGGGATGCTGACTGCTGAATAATCATGCTGCCGTAGGAAGGAAGCATCTCTCATGTAATTGGCAAACTTAAAATAGTTCTTTACGTTACTATGGGCAAAACACTCTTCCTGTAACCTTTTAAATTGACTTAATGCTTGTTCTTATTAAAGTTAGGCTTTCTGAGCACACCTGTGAGCTCATGGGAACTTGTTTCTGCAAGGAGGAGAATTTAAGCCAGCGTTTAATTTCACCTTTATCTCTTGTGACCTCCTTACTTGGAACAGTGATGTTTTCTTTTGTACTCTGTGCAGCCCATGTGGAAAAAATAGGCTGTCTCCCTGGGATCCATTTGCCTCTTTACTGCAGAGGAGCAGCTGAGCTGAATTCCACGTACAAACACCAAGCTGCATTCCTCAGTGCACCTCAATGCCAATGTTAGCAAACCTCCAGCGTTAATCTAGGTGATGTTTATACCCTATCCTATCACACGAGCTTTACAAAACTGACATGAAAACTCGTTGCTTGCCTGCAGTGAGCACACAGCATCCCGTGCACACAAGGTGTGCAGTGAGCAATGCTGTCACAGCGCTGTCAGCATAGAGCAGTCATCCAGGGCCATGGCAGGAGATGCCTTTCTTTGAGCTCTGTTTGATTTCTGCTGCTCTCAGGTGCCGCTTTGGAGATTTCAAAGGGGCTGGTTTCAAAGAGCAGCCAATAAATGGAGCTTCAGATATAGAAGTATTTTGTGAATATTGCTCTCTTGGCTTTACTTTTATCCTCACTTCCGAATATTTGTGCTTGGGTAAAGCTGCTGTGCTGGAAGTTCTGCTCTGGGGCCACAGCTCAGCGTGAAAGGGATAAAGCAGAAGATGGGGAATAGTGTGGGAGTCAAATGGGTACATTTAGCAAGATAAATTCTGGAAAGGGGGAAGAAGGCCACAGGGAAACACATTTTGACTGTCAGAGAAGTTAGCTGGAACATGATTCACTGTGCAGGAAGATTTGCCATTGTAGAATTTCAAATACAATAAAATAATGACTTTGGATATATATATATAAAAAGAGGTTTTGAAGGGTCCTCCTTACAGGAGAACCCAAAGCAAGGAATGGATCCAGCAGAGAGAAGGTGAAGTGTGTGATCAGCAGGGTGCTTTGAAGGGCACTGAAGGTGCCGTGAGCTTGGAGGCTGCAGCTGAACAGCTAATAAAAGGTTTTTCTTCTGCACCTCTAAATTTGATGAGTATGAAGGCATCCTCAGGATATTTGGGCCATGCAGTTATTAATTTACTCTTGTTAATAGAACAGGGAAATATTTCACTGGAAAATTAACATCAGATTTCTTGCTTTTGACCATCAGACATAGCTTTCACCCAATTCATACTTCCTAAAGCATTGCTTAAAGTTGGCATTTGTCCTGTGGTTTTTTCCTCATCTGATTTGCTAAATTGCACAATAATCGTTAATTAACAAGAGGACAGACATCGAGGAGATATTGGAAGCAGTGGTTTAGAAAGCAAAGAAGTGCATTGCTGCTATTGTCAGAACAAATCAGATGTAACAGCGCTTTGGAAACTTAATGAGCTTTTGCTATGGCTGAGTTTGAGCAGCAGAAGTTTCAGCTGCGTGCGCCTGGCTGCTTCCGCCAAGGAATTAACCTTAAATTCCATCTTGGAAAAGCATAAGAAGATGACCAGGTTTCCTTGGAACAATGACACATCCTCTGCCAGGGAGAGCGTCAGCCTTTCCACTGACTTAAGGCTCCTGGCAAAAAACACTTCTTCATCGTTCTGCCATCTCGCCGTTCCTACAGATGTGTGCTGTGTTTGAGTTGAACCCTGTGGAGGTTTTGCTCACCATGGCTGTGTGGGCAGCTCAGCCCCATTCCTGGCAGCTCACTGACCCCCTCCGTCCTGCAGCACTGCACCCGGTGCTGCTCAGCACAGCTGGATGCCCCCAGCACCCAGTGAGGCTGCACCCAGCCTGATCCCTCCAAGCAAATTGAATTGTAATGTTATGAAGCCTTGCATTTTTTCTGAGTCTAGAGAGGGCAGTTGTGTGTTCATTTTACGTCTCTAATTATTTTAGTTGGCTGTGAAAGGCATTTTTCACACGATGAGAACATGTGTTTGCGTTGTGTCCTGTACAGGTAGGTGCAGTTTGCCCATCACTGCACAGCAGGTGTTGTGGCAGTAATGGATGTGCTGCATTTCCTGCATGTAGACCCAAAGAAGCGACATGTCAGCAGATGCACCTGCTGCTCAAGCTCTGGGATCCACGTGCCATGCAGACAGGATCACAGTAGGGCTGACCCTGTGCAGCTCCAGTCAAACAAATGAGACTCTAAAGCGCCTGCTGCTTTGCTCCAAGCTCAGACCTGCCAGAGTTTGATGCGAGGATTATTCTTGGAGAGAGAGCAGAAGGAGCTTCCAAAGCCACTTCGGAGAGGACAGCTGAGAGCATTTGTTTTGTTCCTTGCTAACCTCATTCTGCACACACATAGACTTGTGGAGCTACCGTGCTTTTGATTAAGACTCGTGCGCGTGCCATATCATAACCAGCTTTCCCTCCAGTGTTGTTGTTTATCTCTGCAAGAGGAATGACCAGTAAATCAGTAAATCACTCTGCAGGGGACTCCTGTAATCACTGCCTTAGCTGCTAGCTTACTGGAGATGAGCTGCTTTTTCTCTGGTGGTGAGGAGACCACAGGAACCAGCAGCATTTCTAAGCCCTGCCTGTAAATGTTATCAGTAAAGTCTTGGTGAGGAAGTGCTGCTCTTTCCTGGCAGAACTGTGTACCAACAAGGTATGTAACTTCATTTTGTCTTCCAAGTTACCACTTTGAAACTGTTGCCATTGGAGTGGATGGGTTCAGTGAGATCGTGTTTGCTCCTAGGACTGGTTTCCTGTTCTTGGAAATCTCTGCTGCTGTTTGGTCAGTTTTCATTACTCATTGCTGGGCAGTTGTTGGTTGCATTCAGTACCACTGCAGCTCTTTTTGGTTAGTGGCATGCAGTGATTTAATGTCATGTAATGCAGGAGGAGGAGGAGGAATTCCACACCTGCTCCAGGGTTTGGTATGTCAGTATGTGCAGAGCAGAGACCCACAGGCTTGTCTTTAGCCACATAAACCAGAGCAGACCTAATGCACTTGTACTCTGTAGGGTGTTTTGTTTGGAAGATATATTGATCTCGGTCACCTTGGAGCAGTATTAATGGATATCTATTAACAAAGCAAAACAAAAGTTGGACACTGCTGCACTGCTCGTGGGCCCTCTCAGGAGTTGCTTCAGCCTCTGCTTTAGCACACATAGACCAGGAGTTTGTCTAAGGGGACACTGAGAAGCCCTAAAATGAAAGCAAGCTATGTGGGTGTGAAGGCAGTGAGTATAAATCAGCAGCTTAATCCTCAGGTAGCTCTGCTCTTTCAAATGAAAAGCGATCTCAGTTTGCTGTAACTCAGCCCTCCTACACACAGGGACTTCACGCCTACAGATGATTCACTTTCTATTTCTGGAGAGGTCGTGTACAGACTTGGCTCGACATGAATCCCAATGGGTGCACGTTACAGTGTGTGTGAGAGGAAAGGTGATGCAATTCCACCTTTGTCTTAACCGGACCTGTGAGTTTTCCTACCCTGTCTCACATTGCACAGAACTGGGTCCTGTGCATGTCAGGAGGCTGCAGCAGGTGTGTGCTGTGACTTCCTGGCTGGGCTGCTGGCTGTCCTGTCCACAGAGCTGCAGGGATGTGCTGTAAGGAGGCAGGGCCTGGAATTCCATCGTGGGCAGATGGAGTGGGTGCACGGACCCTAAATAAGCACAGGGCATCTTAAGGGATGGAAACTTTTCTTCTTGAGTAGGAAACCTGCTTTTGATTGACCTGCAGCTCCATGGAACCTGACAGACATGGGAAATATTGCCATGTATTGGCTTTCCTTTAACTGCATGTTTGGTTTGAAAATGTAGTAGCACTTCAAATACAAAATTTGATAGTAAATGATAAAGTGATGGGGAACCCCAGTGAAGAAATAAGTTATTGTTATCACATTCATGGCAGCATGCAACACACAGAAAAGTCCAACTTACAGATACATCTCTTTCTAGAATGCAGTTTTTGGGTGTAATTAAGCTCACCGTGTTAAAGACCCCTGAATTTGGGTTGATCTGCAGGGCTCTACTGCGCACCACCTTCATGAGAATGTGGGAATGTGTCAACATTGTGAAGTTCTCATTGAAAAGCTTTTGAGATGAAAGTTTGCTCTGAAGGAGGAAGGAATCAGTGGGACCAAAACAGTGTCAGGAAGCCAAGAAAAGAGTTTGCTAAGAAGGTGGAATGGGAAAAGACCAAGAGTGGTCAAAGGGGATATCTCATGGGTTTTCTGGAGAAGGGATGGATGAAATTGGAGAGGATCTCTGTTATCTGACATGTGAATAATTATGGAGATATTTTCAGGGAACAATTAATTTGCAGACTTCTAAGCCAAACGTTTAATCCCTGCCTTGAACACTTTGCCTTCCTATGATTGCTTTATTTTTGAACCATGTTTTTTATTTTCATGCTATCAGGTGAGATGCCGGAATCCAATGGCATCAGAGGGTCTGTGCAAGGCATGAATGCTGAATATTTCCTATCTGATGACTGCAGACAGGCTCTGCTCCCCGCTTCCCTGAGACTGAGAGTGTCTTGGAGCGAGCTGATGTGACTGCAGTGCTGTGTGCGTTGTCCCATGGCTGGCTCAGCCCTGCTCACTGACCTGCTCTTTCTCTCTCTCTTCCCACCCTCTCCCCATTCCCTTGCAGCTTTCGCTCCCAGAAGAACAGAGCGAAGTGATGAGGAACGGCTGTGAATCCAAGGAACTTGTCTACCTTGTCCAGATCTCTTGCCAGGTAAATGCCGTGTTTTCTCTCCCCTGCGTCGTTTTGCAGCCCGTGTTTAGTAACCCAGCCTTGTAATATTTTTATGTGGCACTTCCCTGCAGCACGTGTGGGTTTTTCTCCACTTCCCTCCAGCTCAGCCCTCAGAAGGATGCTGTCTGTAATGCTGTGACCAGCTAGTCTTAAGGAAACAAATCCCTTGGGCAAATAATCCCAGCCCCAGCTTGTGCAGAGCTGCACAGCATGACCCAGGGCCACAAGCATGCATGCTTCAGTTGTGTCTGTGTGTGTGTGCCCAGAAGCTGAAGGGAGCACAGCAGGGATGCAAGGGGAGGAAATCCATGTGCAAGGCTGTGGCTGGTGCTGGTGGTGAGGCTGCTGTGAGCCGTGGGGCAGATCCACCCCCAGCAGTGACACCTCTGCTACTGCAGAATCAGAGTGCTGTGCACAAATGGATCTGTTGCTTTGTGCCTATCTGATAGAACAGGGATGGGGACTTTGTAAAACGCTGTGTAACAGGCTATCATGTTTTAATAGACTGAATGAAATGGTTGTCTGTGGGAGACCAGTTGCATTGGCAAGTTCCATTGAGAATTAATGCCTGTGTTTGGCATTTTCCTGGTCTCAGCATAGCAGTTCTTTTTATGATTCATCCCAGCACTTCTTGAGCATCCATCTCAGCAATTTGTACTGAACGTTAATGGCAATCACCGTGGAGTCTCTCTCTAAAGCTCTTTATACCGTTCTGCTGACCTTTCTTGGGTATTAAAACAAAGTGTACAGAATAGGGATGTGTGTGCAGCCTGCACTGGATTGCGTGGGGCAGAGTCCAGTGACTTCCAGTGAGGTTTTTCAAGGGATTTAAGGAATCTGAAGACTTCAGATATCCTCAAGGGTCTGTAGGACCTGCAGGATATGTGAGAAGAGGAGCAAGCCCTGGGAGCTGCAAGTAGCAGTGAATTGCATGCAAGGTTTGGCCAGACTGAGCCCAGCTGTCCTGCAGTTTGTCTGAATTGCTGTCAGCCCTCGGATGCTTTGTGGGGATGTCTCAGAATGTTATTCAGAGAGCTGATTTCTCTGGGGACAGCATGGTGGGTCTGCACCTTGCACATGGGAGATGCAGTTTGCAGCCAGGCTGAACAGAGCTGCTGCCCAGTAGATCCAGAGGCTGCAAGTCGTGCCCAGCTGCTGAGCTATTGCTTTCTTTTTCAATGTTCTACTAAACTAAAATGAAAGCACTGGGAGTTGGCCTCATCACTTTAAAGGGTGGGCACAGAACCAGTCACCTTTGCATTTAGGAATCCTTCTGACCATCTCGAATGTCTGCACGCCCCAAGTTTGTGATTCATCTCTTGTCAGTCTGTGCCTGTCTCTCAGATCCTTGCGAAGCTGAGAAACTCATGGCATCTGGATTCAATGAAAGGATAGGCATGAAAGGAGCTGTGCAGCTGAGTATCATTTCTGCTGTGGAGATACTTCACCCCTGACATCTCGTGGCCTCCCCTAATGTCCAGGGAAAGATTCCATTCTGTCACGCAATGGATATCAGTGGCGTCTGGATGGGTTTGGCTCCACATTGGAATTAAATGGGAAGTGTGAAATAGCTCATGGAATGATAGTGCAGCAGAGAGAGGTTTTGGCAGGATGCCTTTGTATCAGGCCAAAAATATTGAGGAGGGGGAAAAAAGCGTATAAAACAAATTTCACTTTGCTTGCCCTTTGGATGTACTACTAGTATTGGTGTCCAGCCTACTGCAGCAGCTTGCAAAAGTCTCCTTGATTTCTCAGATGGACACAGAGAAAAGCGGTTCTGCTAATTAGAGTTATATCCATATGCATTTAAAAGCTTTAAAATAGCTGTTTTGCAAAAGCAGAAAATAAAGATTCACAGACTGACCAAGGTTGGAAAAGATCTCCAAGATCATCCACTCCAACCGTCCACTTATCACCAGTATTTTCCACTAAACCACATCCCTCAGAACAACATCTAAACGTTTCTTGTACACCTCCATGGACAGGACTCATACCCACCTCCATGTGGTGCACAGCAAGAGCATTTTTGATTGTTTGGTGACTGCTTTGCAAAACCTTCGCAGATAAAGTTTAAAAAAAATGGAGATGTATGAAGTCAGCTTGTGAAATACAGACTTTGTGTGGGCTGCAGGGGGTTCTGAAAGGCCATTCTCAGCTTTTCTTCTGCTTAGAGATCTTAGGAAATGAATCCAGGTTATTAGCTCTTAAGAAGTGGAAATACATGGAGAGCTGTTCCACGTGGGTTTGAGAAGTGGAAAGGTGGGATTCTTCTGATTCCTTTGAACACGTTTAACCATGAAGATTAGCAAATGGCTAAGGCAGTGTTGTTAGTTGTGTTTGAGAGATCTGCTAATGGGTTTCCTTTGTTTTGCTTTGGTTTTTAGAACAGCCAAGGTGGATCTTTCTTTTCTTGAGGAAAATTGCACTGTTTAGCTGATTTGTACAGGATTGCTTTCAGGAAGTGTGCAGTTCCTGCTGCTGACTGATTGCTGCCATTAAAACAAATATAAATGTATTTCTGTGATGGAAGAAGGAGTGGGTGAGTGGGAAAAGAGAAAGAGCCTTAGAAACAGTTTAGAAATGATTTTCTGGGAGAAGGAGCCCTGCGTTGAGTTTGTGTTTTCCCAGTTTGCACACCGTGTGCCACCTGCATTTTTGCTGGGAAGGAGAACATCTTCAAGGAACGTTAGGGATGGTTTTTCCTGCAGGAAATAGAAAAGCATGAGCCAGTTGGATGGGTGGTGTGAGGGCTGTGCTATGTGCCTACTGAGCTCCATGGGCAGCAGCTGCAGCAGTAACTGCAGCCCTTTGGGGAGTGCAGTGCGTGGCTGAGGCCTGCATGAGGTTGTGCTGTATCTGTGCACTGTGAAGGCTCTTGGACAGTGTTTGCAGCCCTTGCTGACTTCCAGAGGGATGAGCAAAAGTCTGACGATGGTCTGTGACACAAAGACCGAGTGCCACACTGCGCCCTCAGCTCCCTGTGTCACTGCGGGGTGCTTCCCATGGCATCGTACCCATGTCCTGTGCAGGGATGCTGCTGCATCTGCACCCAGCTGGTCTCAGGGCAATGAGCTCTCAGTCCCAGCGTGGCTTTTCTCCATGTTTCTGCTCACATTTGCAGACCTCGTGCTGGCAGTAGGTTGAGCAAGTCCATGTTGTTGCATGGGATGCACATTTCTTTGCACTGTTCCTGTTGTTTGTTTGCAGCAGCCGTTGCTGTCTGTGCTGTATTCATTTTGATTGATAGAATAAGGTCTCTGATGCAGTGCATGAAGGCATTTACACAAATATCTGCCACTCGTATCTCCCGGCTCTGCCTTGCACAAGATTCCAGCTCGCTACCTCCTGTCTGAAGAACAGTTTTGCAAAACCCTGAAGGCAACCTCATCCAGCATCCCGGGGCTGGTAGTGTGGTTGCAGTAATAAGTGCTTCAGGGCAACAGGGAGAGTGCCAGGAAAAAATGAGATCCGATAGGAAGAACAGTCAGGACTCCCCATCCTGGGTGGTTTGTGGGGAGAGAAGAGTGGAATATATGTTCACAGAAGCAAATGTCTTACTCAGGCTCTAATGTCTTAAGTGCTGTTTGCTGATTCAGTCTGCCTGTGAGAGTCCTTATTGGAAACCACAACTGCTTGCAGTAGGATTTTTGAGTCAAGCATTCAGAAATCTTTTGTATGATTGTTTTGTTGGTTTTTTTTTTTTCCCTTTTTCCCCTTCTTAAAGGCTTGTTCTTTAATGTATAATAGCTTTGTCTTGTATGATTGAGGCTCAAACACCTCGAGAACAGTTACTGTGGAAGTGCTGTGAAATTTCTTCCTGTGAAAAGCTACAATTCTTTAAGCAGATGGGGCTCTGAGGGCCAAATTCTGGCACACAAAATGTATAATTGTGTATGTGTGCATGTATCTGTATTATATATATACATAAGAGATTGGGATAAATCTATGTGGAGCATCCACGCTGGATCCTACCCAAGGCAGAATCTCTTCCTCACCTTTCTTAACATGGCATTTGCTGCCGTTGTTGTTTAAGGAAGAGTTTGCAAAACAAAAGCAGTTGCTTTGTCATTGCATTGCATTGTGAATTCAGATAATGCTTTACCTTAAGCCTGTTGCTGAGTCCCAGCAGGGATGAGCACTGGATTCCCCCATGGCTGGTGCAGCACTGTCTATAGTGGTGCAGCCAAACCAATACGTGTGAAATGAGCACACATTGCAGGAGGGTGTGCTCTGCTTTCTTGCCTGAAGATGACTGCAACAAAGTGCCTGGAGAAATACAGCTTCACCACCCAGTTTGCCTGTGAGATTTGGGTACATCACATGCCTGAAAATCCCAGTTGTGACACCTGGTACCTGTTTGTAACTCTCCCAAAACGTTTAAAATCCTGACTGTGAGCCTTCATGGGTCAAATATTTCTTGCCTGTCCTTCCGGATGCTCTCAAATATTCAAACCTCTGCCTTAAGCATTTCTCAGGATGAGAAAGGTTGTTCTGTGTTAGTCAAAAGAAAGCAACTGAACTCCTTGTTCCTGCCCTACTAATCCATCACTTGATGTGCTGTGCTTGAATGGTTGATCTCAGGTCATACACTGCATGCCTTCCTCTCTCAGTAGCGATAAATAAACGTGAAGTGACACCAGTGGGTGGGGTTAATAAAGAATGTATGAAGCTGGCAAGCAGCCTGGTTAGAGTGGTTGGGTTGTGTTCAAAGCTCAGGCACTAGCAGAGCACTGGCAAGGTGTAGAGTCTGCTCCAGGCTTGGGTCTGCTCCAGGCTTTCTGAAAGTAGAGTAGCATCTGTAGGGAAAAGAGAGAAGAGATTGAATTGCATGAGGAACCTTTAAGAATGACATAATTAACATCTACATCTATTACTCTGTAGCTGTTATGATAATATTAAGGGATAAATTCATTCATTAATTAGGACGATAATCATTAAGGACAAGGATCTGACAGGCTGTGCTTTGGAGCTTTGCCACA